CTTTAGGTATCCAGGTCCCAAGCCGTTAAGGGCTTTATAGGTAATAACCAGCACCTTGAATTGAGCCCGGACTTCGATGGGAAGCCAGTGAAGCTGATAGAGGACTGGGGTTATGTGAGAATAACGCCCAGTCCCCGTCAACAACCTGGCTGCTCTATTTTGCACCATCTGAAGTATCTGGACTGTCTTCAAGGGCAGCCCCACGTAGAGCGTGGGGAAGTAACCATTGCATGTGTCACTGTTGCTAGGCAATCGTCCTCCAGGTAGGGACGCAGCTGATGGATTAACCGAAGCTGAAGGAAAGCGCTCCTCACCACCACAGTCACTTGAGCTTCCAAGGAAAGCTCTGGGTCGAGGAGCACTCCCAAGCTGTGGACCCTGGCCTTTAGAGGGAGTGCAACCCCATCCAGGGCAAGGTCCAAGTCACCTACCCAGGAGCTCGATCCACCCAGCAACAGGACCTCTGTCTTGTCTGGATTGAATTTCAGTTTATTGGCCCTCATCCAGTCCATTACCTTGGCCAGGCACCGATTCAGTACAGCTACTGCCTCACCTGGATTGGTTGAAAAAGAGAGATAGAGCTGGGTATCATCAGCATACTGATGACTCCGCAGCCCACACCTCCTGATGACCTCTCCCAGCGGTTTCATGTAGATATTAAATAGCAAGGGGGACAAAATGGAACCCTACGGTACTCCATGGCATAACTGCCATGGCACAGAGCCATAGTCCCCCAGGACCACCTTCTGGAATCAGCTGTCAAGGTAGGAACGGAACCACTGCCAAGCAGTGCCTCTTACTCCCAGTCCCTCCAGCCTATCCAGAAGGATACCATGGTCAATGGTATTGAAAGCCGCTGAGAGGTCCAGGAGGACCAACAGGGATGCACTCCCCCTGTCTCTCTCCCTGCACAGGTCATCATACAGGGCAACCAAGGCAGATTCAGTACCATACCCGGATCTGAAGCTGGACAGAAATGGGTCCAGATGATCAGTTTCATCCAAGAGTGCTTGGAGTTGTCCCGCCACCACCCG